TTTGTGCTATAAAAGAGAAATATTGGCTAATGACAAAGTAAAAGAGAAATACACAGGAAAGAACACAACAAATAAACAGGAATACATAGAAATACAAACATTGGCTAAAGACAAAGTAAAAGAGAAAAACAGAGGAAAGAACACAACAAAAACAGAGTAACCGGAAACAATAACTGAAATCAAGACACTGATAAATGGGTTGCCTTCTCCCCCAAGCTTCTTTCTCTCCGGTCCATTTGGTTTGGTTGCAAAAGATTCTTCAAGTTGGGTTTACGAAGGCTTCACGAACAAAATATACGTTAGTTTCACTTATTCATTCATCCAGAAAATGCTATTATAATATATTTTTAAAAAATTCAGAACATTACCCATCTAGTTAGCTGTGGTGCTTCTTCTTCTTCTGCATTTGTTTCGACCAAAAGGACTCGTGAACCACTCTGGTTTGTATGAAACCAATATGTATCCAATCGTCAACCCAAACGCAATACCAGGTACAAATCCTATTGCAGCTGCAATCCAACTAAACACCCCTTCATCTTCTTCTTCTTTTGGTTCTGGCGTTTCAGATTGTTGCGATGAAGGCTTGTGGATATCTCCGCAATCATCTTCAAGAGCAGGTCCGAAAAGTCCCAAGTTGTCGTCAAAAGAAGAGCAGTTCAGCCTTCGAAACTGAGTGCCTCCTGGTAATAGACCTACAAGCTGGTTATGGGAGAAGTTCATGTACGAAAGGAACGAGAGATTCCCTAGCTCTTGTGGAATTTCTCCTGAAAGCTTGTTTTGGGAAACGTCTAGTGACTCGAGAGCTGTCAGGTTCCCCATGGACGATGGTATGCGGCCATTGAAAGCATTGTTTGACAAGTTGAGCACGTGAAGCTCTTTCAGTAAACCGATGGACTTTGGAATCTCGCCTTCAAGTTTGTTTCCAGAGAAGTCGAGTGCTGTGAAGACTTTTAGGATACGTTCTAGCTCCAATAATACACCTTTATTCATCAAAACCATTGAATCGTGGTAATAGCTTCCTCCCATGTACTTTCCAGTCGACTTATCTTCGTTTATCCCAAGAGATGCCATTGCACTCCAACTCACAAAACAATCAGCTGGTAAAATTCCGCTGAACTGATTATGTGAGATGTCCATGATTTTCAACTGAAAGAATGAGGCTTGATGTATCGACCCATGGAATGCATTGGAGCGCAAGACAAGAACTTTCAGGTTTTGTAGAGAATTTAACCAGAACGGAAACGTGTCGTTGATTCGGTTGCTTTCTACATTCAGAACTTCAAGAGCGGAGAAATGGATCAAAGATCTTGGAAGCTTTCCCACCAATTGGTTATTTCCAATGTCAAGCGTTCTTAGACCTTTAAATACATTCTTCGGAAGACCTCCACTAAGACGATTCTGACGTAGGTTCAGAACTGAGAGATTGCTCTTGAGATTACCCATGCAAAGAGGTATTGAACCATTGAAGTTGTTGCTTGATAAATCTAGAGTGCTTAGAGAGTGCAACTCGCATATGAGAGATGGAATCTCTCCTGTGAAGTTATTTTTAGAGCCAGACAAGTACTCTAGGGCAGAGGATAGTCCATGGTTCATTGATATTTCGAAGTTGATGAAAGTGTTGTTGGAAAGATTCACGTAACGTAGATTTGGTAGCGTCCATAACCAGCCAGGAACTTGACCTTTGATTTTGTTGTTGGAAATGTCTAGAGTATCCATATCCTGCTGGAATCTTAGTAGCTCTGGAAATTCGGTAATACCGCAGCCTGACAATTTTAAAAGACTTATCATCTGTGAAGGAGAAACTGAAACTAAACTGTTGTTTGTGGCTAAAACATGGTTTCCGGAGAGATCCAATGAAAATGATTCAAGCGACTTGGCTAAAACATGGTTCCCTGAGAGATCCAGTCCCCGGAGTGACTGGGAAATTGAGGAGATTGCATGCAAGTCAATCGTTGTTGTGGTGTTCAGATGGGAGAGGTAAAGACTGGAAAGTGACTTGAGATGCGAGAAGATACTGAAGTCAACTGGGCCTTGGGTGTTCCAATGGGAAAGGTCAAGATGCTCAAGATTGACTAATTTGGAAATGGATCCAGGGATTGGCCCTCTGAAGTTGTTACCACCAAGGTATAACACTTGAAGCTTAGGTGGTGAAGATATATTCCCAAACTCAAGAGTGCCGTTGAGTTGGTTATCTGACAAATCAATAGATGTCAAAGAAGGAAGGGCGAAGAGAGAAGAAGGAAGGGTTCCAACGAAATTGTTATCATATGCCAAAAAACCCTTCAAGGTGGAGAGTGAGCTAATGTTTGGAGGAAGCGTTCCTGTGAGTTGATTGGAGTAGAGTGATAAAGACGACAACTTTGTCAAATTTAGTTGGGGAACCTGACAGCTCTCGAGTCACTAGACGTTTCCCAAAACAAGCTTTCCGTAGAAATTCCACAAGAGCTAGGGAATCTCTCATTTCTTTCATACATGAACTTCTCCCATAACCAGCTTGTAGGTTTACTACCCGGAGGCACTCAGTTTCGAACGCAGCCTTGCTCTTCCTTCGACAACAACTCGGGACTTTTTGAATCTGCTCTTGATGAAGTTTGCAGAGATATCCACAAGCCTTCATCGCAGCAGTCTGAAACCCCAGAACCAGAAGAAGAGGATGATGAGGTGTTAAGTTGGATTGCAGCTGTAATAGGATTTGTCTCTGGAATTGCGTTTGGGTTGACGATTGGATACATATTGGTTTCATACAAACCAGAGTGGTTCACGAGTCCTTTTGGTCGAAACAAACGCAGAAGAAGAAGCACCGCAGCTAGCTAGATAGGTAATGTTTCTGAATTTGAAAAAAATATATTATAATAGGATTTTCTGGATGAACGAATTAGTGAAACTAACGTATATTTTGTTTGTGTAGCCTTCGTAAACCCAACTTGAAGAATCTTTGAGAAAGAGAAAGAAGCTTGGGGGAGAAGGCAACCCATTTATCCAGTGTCTTGATTTCAGTTATTGTTTACGGTTACTCTGTTTTTGTTGTGTTCTTTCCTCTGTTTTTCTCTTTTACTTTGTCTTTAGCCAATGTTTGTATTTCTATAAATTTATAGCACAAAAGTAATCCTGTTTATTTGATGGACATGATTATACATAGTTAAGGTCCAATCATAAGAGATATATTTACCATAACAAATTTCGTCTATCTTTCTTCTTCTTCAGGCTCTTTTTGTCATCGCAAATAATTGAAAGAACAGAAACCAAAATGCTCCATTGTTGTTGTATATGCAGGATCATATCAACAGTTGGAGAAAAACAACATTGATTCTTACATCGGTTCTGTTCTTAGCTGCTGCTATATGGTATATTAATTAATATAGATTCTACGGTATAACATGAACCGTTGATAAAAACATAAAAACAAGAATAATCTGAGTTAAAAAAGAACAGGGGACAAAAAGTTTGAGGCTAAATCGATTAATAGAGCCTACCGGTACACTCAGAAGAACCACAGTAGCAAATCTTCTTCTTGATATTACCGTTAACATCGCGCACCTGATCGATCATGTAATTATAATGGTAAGTGAGTTCTTGAAGCGGAGGTATATTGTCTTCATGGTCATACAACACGTTCTGCGCATACAGATTCGGCGGCGTCGACGGTGAAGCCCGTCGTGAGCCACTTCGGGTAGATGAACGGAGGAGGCTTCGATCATCGCGCAAATGGGCAATCTCTCTATACATTAATCGTTCAAACATAAACGCGGAGGAATCGATCGATTATATAATCAAATTCGCAATCAAGCAAGAAACCATACCACACAGAAGAGTAAAACCAAAAACGCTCCCAGGACCATTTATCGAGACAACCCTTAAAAATTTCTCCTTTGGCTCTCTTGGCGGCTCCGCCGCTGGTTTCTTTTACCGGTGGATTCTCTCCTCTCCTCTCTTAGTTCTCCCTTATTCTTTCTGAAATCCATTTGCCCCATGTCTTCCGGTGAAATCTCAGCAAATGACTACGGTTTTCTCATGCCTTCATCGGAGAGGAGATTGGATTCGACCCCCTCAAAATCAGCGACCCTCTTACCATCGACTCTTTCAGGCAAAGCAACTTAGTTTCGGAATCTTCTCAAGATCTGCATCGATGCTCTGTCTGGCAAATCGATGACACCTCTGATTCCGCTTCAGTCATGGCTACAATTCTGCGTCATGACAACTGCTCCCTTCCGGCCACACAGTCTCATGCTAGCGGAAGTGTCCCCATCTCTGTGAAACGGTAATTATTCATATCCAAGAGAAAAGCTTCACTCCTGCCAATCTCCAAGGGAGCATGGGAGAAGCCTCTTGCGATTTATTCTGCTCCTCTTCATCATCTTGCAGAAGGTCCTTTGTTGAACTCTGAAAATTCCCAATGGCTTTGGCTCCGAAGTTAACAACCCCTCACTGCTCTGAAGCTGAAGCTGCTTCACTTAAAGCTCACTCCAAAGAGTATCCTTGGACAGCAAGGATGAACCAATGTCTGAGGAATCTTCATAGAGTAACCATTCCTGAGTACTTGGAGGTTAGAATACCTTCTCATGTTCTTCTATGTGGTTTAGAGAACCAACAAGAATTTGTGGTAGGTCAATTTTACCGCTGCTCAGCTCCTTCTAGAGGGTTTATTCAGTTGATAGTAACTAGGATTTGGGGAAGGAAATGCAGAATCTTCATTCGAAAATTAGGAGAGTCAACGTACCTATTCCACATTCCACACGAGTCAACATACCGATTCCCTATATGGTCCTTCAGAGAGGTTGACGACTGCTTGATGTTTGTATCTCCTTGGTCACCTTGAGATACCACAGTTATGGAAACATCTTTGGAAAGGAGGGAAAAGGAAATCGGAAACGATCTGATTCATGTTTCTAGCACTATGGCCCCTCTTCCTAATACGACTCCAAATAAAAAATCTGAGATGGTCTCGCCAAGAGAGACTCTTATCTAGTAGAAGTCTCTGTCTACCTCATCTTTGATTAAGAATGGGTTCTTAGCTCTTGAATTTTCTGATGAAGAAGATACAACAACGGTTCTAGATGAAGAAGATACGACGGTTCTAGATAAGGATCCTCAACCGTCGGATTTCATGACCCCTTCTGGTCAAAGAATTCTTGGTGAGAGATCTGTTAAGCCGTCTGCCAAAGTAAAGGATACGCAATGGAAAATAGCTTCTGCAGAAGTTTCAGATATTGTCTCTTCAACAGCCATCTTGCTCACTTGGCCACTTATATCTGAATCATTGACACACTCAGCAATAGTGTCATCTGAATGCTCCATGACAGTCTCTTCATCTTTGGAAGTTCTTACAGAATAGGTCTGACCATCAATAGTAGAACTCCCTCTTAACTTATCCATGTCAAAGTTCATGACAACATCACCAAGATCAAGCTCAATGTTCCCCCTTCTAACATCAATGATGGCTCCAGCAGTAGCCAAGAATGGTCTTCCCAGAATAAGAGGATCTTTAGGTTCTTCAGCATATTTCAGAACCACAAAATCTGTAGGAATTATGCAGCCTTCAATGTTAACATGAACATTCTCTAACATGCCTTCTGGGGTCCTTATGGATCCATCTGCTAGAATGAGAGAGATCCCAGCTGGCTTAAAATCAGTCATTCCAAGTCTAGCAGCAATAGAGAAAGGCATCAAGTTAATACTTGACCCTAGATCACATAGAGAGTATGGAAAACGTCCTGCAGATATTGAGCAATCAAGCACAAAGGTCCCTGGATCAGATAGCTTCTCTGGAACTCTGAATGTGGTCGGGGAAGAGGTGTGTCGTGGCTAGTTTGTTCAACATTGATTATTTTAGTATAGTCGATACGGAAGATTCTACTATTTACTACTGCAAGTTTTGTTGTTTTAATGCTTTGCACTTGTGCAATCTCTTGTAAAACTTTTGTCTTGTTTCAGGTTTCAATTAATAAAATTTGTCTTCAAAAAAAAAGTTATCAACGTGTAAAATTTTATGTTATTGTATTATTATCTCATTAAAAATAAAATTTGTTAGATGAAAGAACTTGATAGACACCAAAACCAGGGGGGAAGGAAAACCATAAGGCATACTCGACGTTATGATTAGTTTAAACATATATCTACACCACAAAAAAATATACAGTAATTCAATTAGATTAACTTAGACATCGTCGAATCTTCCTTTCTGTCTCCCATTTGGTACATCAATCATTGCTCTACTCTTCACTTTTCCTCTCTTCCCGCCATGAGTGTACGAATTTTGACATCTCCCTTCACGCTTCGAATACCAATAAAACGGTGCAAAGTTGAAAGCTTTTCCCATGATTTGTCTTTGTTCTTCCGTTTAAGACTCTGAATCTCATTTGCGATTGTGTGTTTTGTTCTCTTTGCATTCCAATTTATATATGCTAAAGATACTGGATTGGTCTTTGACACAGAACTCTGTATTTCTTTGCTGCATCATTATCTTCATCAAAACTCTTTTTTTTTTCAGGTTACTTGTGATCTTCTGCATCATTAACTTGTTAAACTACATGGATCGTGGTGCTATAGCGAGCAATGGTGTCAATGGAAGTACCAGAACTTGTGATGGTAAGGGCAAATGCAACCCTGCAACTGGAATTCAGTAAGAGTTTGGTTGTTTAAGGCCTAAAGCTTTTATATTTACTGCTATGTTTTACTCAAATTTGTTTCTTCTTATAGGGGACATTTCAATCTAAGTAATTTCGAAGATGGTGTGTTGTCATCTTCATTTATGGTTGGACTTCTTATTGCATCACCAATCTATGCTTCATTAGCAAAAAGGTTAGGAAACATTTTTCAGTTTTTTTTTCTTCTAATGCCTAAACAAAATACAGCTTATTGAAGTTGTTTATTGCTTTTTAGTGCAGTTTCAATCCATTTAGACTCATTGGAGTAGGCTTAACTGTTTGGACTATTGCAGTTCTTGGTTGTGGCAGTTCCTTTGCCTTTTGGTTTATCGTCTTCTGTCGCATGTAAGTTAAGTTTTGTTCTTGTTTATGGTTTGACTTTGTTTTCTCCAAATTTTGATTTGTATGACTATTTTTACTCGATAGGTTCGTTGGTGTAGGTGAAGCTTCTTTCATCAGTCTTGCAGTTCCGTTTATAGATGATAATGCTCCTCACAAACAGGTTTCTCTATCAACCGTTTTTTTGCACATCTTATGGATTCAAAATGCAACATTCGTCTATTTCTGATTAACCCTTTTTGCTTTTAACTTCAGAAAGCTGTGTGGCTTGGTGTGTTCTACATGTGTATACCAAGTGGTGTTGCTTTGGGCTATGTCTATGGCGGATACGTATGTATATTGTTGGGACTATGACATTAGTTTATAGAAAGTTGTCTTAAAGGTTCAAAATTTGTGATTTTCAGGTTGGAAAACATTTTAGTTGGCGCTATGCGTTTTGGGGAGAAGCTGTATTAATGGCTCCATTTGCTGTTCTTGGTTTCTTGATGAAACCTTTGCAGTTAAAAGGTGAAGTACAGATTCTGTTTTGTGTTATTAAAAGCATAGACTTTTAAAGATATTGTGATCTGAGAAGATGAATATGAAACAGGGTTTCCTTCTACTGATTCGATAAAGATGGCTTCATCAGTTGGTAAAAACAAGAATCATCTTCAAGCTGGTGGTAATGAGATTGAGATCTCCATTGAAACTTACAAGTTGAGTTTGATTTCATTTATCTTAAAACTTTTTCTTCCATACGTTTTGTATTAGTTTCATCAAATCTTTTTACTTCAACTGTGACAGGTCAAGTTACATGAACGCAGTTTCGAAATCGTTTACTCAGTTTGCGAAAGATATGAAAGTTCTATGTAAAGAAAAGGTCTTTGTTGTTAATGTCTTAGGTAATTATGTTTTACTCTTTACTGTTTCACTATTCTTCTTACTTTATCTTCTTCATTGATTAATATAACTTGGTTTTAACAGGTTATGTATCATACAACTTTGTTATTGGTGCATACTCAAATTGGGGACCAAAGGACTGGAAATCCTTTTTGTGTCAGTGGTTGAAATTCACTAGCTCAGCTGGTTAGAGCAAAGGACTTTAAATCCTTGTGTCAGTGGTTCGAATCCACAACCACTTCGTAGCGGGCGCTACGGTTAGGCTGGCTATAACATTTACAAAATGGTGAAACAGTTGTTTTGTTGCTATCAATCTTTCTTCTTGAGGGTTCTTGAAACTTTTTTTTCTGATAAGAAACTTTATCTTGTCAGAAAAACGCCGATATGATCTTTGGGGCAGTAACTATCATTTGTGGGATCAGTGGGACACTATCAGCGTGTCACCGCAACAATTCCAAATGCTTTTAAGGTGAAGAAGAAAAAGCTTTTTCTCTCTTCTTGTTTTCTGATTTTGAATCAAAACCTTTTTGATCTTTGTATGCAGCTTTTATCCGGAGCAACGTTTCTTGGAGCGATCTTTTGCTTCACTGCATTTACCTTAAAGAGTTTAAACGGTTTCATCGCTCTCTTTGCCTTAGGAGAGCTTCTTGTGTTTGCTACACAGGTAAAAAACTTGGAGCCTTATTGTTGTTGTAATATTGTTATATATCTCAGTCTTCTTCTTCTCTTCTTCTTCAGGCTCCTGTGAACTATGTGTGTTTACATTGTGTGGAACCAAGTTTGAGACCATTATCAATGGCTATCTCTACCGTTGCGATTCACATATTTGGCGATGTTCCTTCTTCTCCTCTTGTCGGTATCGTTCAGGTAAAAAAAAGATCTCTTCTTGTCATCGCCAATATGAGTATATGCAAACAGAAACCAAAATGCTCCATTGTTGTTGTATGTGCAGGATCATATCAACAGTTGGAGAAAAACAGTATTGATTCTTACATCGGTTCTGTTCTTAGCTGCTGCAATATGGTTTATAGGTAAAATGCAAATCTCAATTCTTGAACCTAGATAAATCTTTCTTGTTCCAAATCAAGAAGCTGTTTTTGTTGCGAATTTTGTTTTGGCAGGGATATTCATAAACAGTGTAGATCGTTTTAATGGAGAAGAAAGTGAAAGTGAGAAGCAGAGGAGGCAAGAACAATCGATTGTAACTCCATAAATAAATACTATATAGCAAAAGTAGAGAAATCTGTGTGTATTTGTACAGTTACAAAACACAATGAGCCAAATCTCACACAAAAGCTTCAAATTTGCATGGAAAAACTTGAATTACACGTTTCAGGCTGTATAATTCTTTTTTTTTTGGCTGTATAAACTTGAAAAACTTGATCATTGTGCTTCTTCTCAGTTCTTTATCTTTTTTTCCTATAAATTCTTCTCGATATCATTTTCTTCTGGATTTATGTTCTTGTTTTTGTCGTCTTCTTTCACTTGATTATTCTCTAAAAAAAGATCTTCTGCTTTCTCATGAATTCTCATGTACCGCTTTCCTACACATGATAAAATCGTTACCATGTGATCATTGAAAAGTAAGCCAACTCTGCTCTGAACTCCAACAATTTCAAGTCTCTCTTTCTTTTTCAACCTTATCTTCTTCCTGAGAGCTCTCTTTACATCGACCACATGATTATCATTACCCATAGCAAATCGTCTCTTCTTGACTTGTACTCTTTTTGTAATGTATAACTAATTTCTTTTTCATTAAGGATTTCGTTATTCTTTGTTGTGTATATCTTTTAATTTGGTTGGACCAAAATACATTTACGCTGTTTTCTCAACGTGAATAACACTTCGTACAAAGACTTGATGGTGAGTCAATCTGAGTGAATCTGGAGCACCCTCTATAATTATATGCAATGTATATAAAGAGACGGGGAATGAAACCATGTTTTGCTATCACCATTTCCATCTTTCGGTTCTTCATTATTGGTATTCAAGAGAAATTAAAATAGCATAAAGAAGAAGAACGAAAGGCTCCTGGAACTCAATGAGGACCATTCATATTACTTATTTTGTTCTCTTCTCTTTTATACTTTATTTTCAAAACATGTCTGCGGTTCCTATTAGACATGTGTGTCGTCCTGAACAAAGGGATGCACTTCTCGAGTTGAAGAACAAGTTTGAGATTCGAAAGTCTTCTTTTGATCGCTTGTGTCTTTATTATATTGGTGGAGCTGCTTATCCGAAGACGGAGTCATGGAAACATAACAGTGATTGTTGTTATTGGGATGGTATCACGTGCGATGCCAAGTCTGGGGAAGTGATCGAGCTCGACCTCAGCTGCAGTCACCTCCATGGCAGGTTTCATTCGAATACCTTTCAAAACATTCCTTTTCTATCTTCTCTAGACCTTTCATATAATGATTTATATGGTGAAATCCCATCCTCCATTGGAAAACTCTCTCATCTCACCTCTCTCCATCTTTCTTATAATCAGTTTTCTGGTCAGATTCCATCTTCAATTGGAACTCTTTCGAATCTCACCTCTCTCAACCTTTGTTTTAATCAGTTTTCGGGTCAGATTCTGTCTTTAATTAGAAACATTTCGAATCTCACATTTCTCTCTCTTTCTGGAAATCGGTTTTCTGGTCAGATTCCATCCTCAATTGGAAACCTTTCACATCTCACTTTTCTCAACCTTTCTTATAATCAGTTTTGGGGTCGAATTCTATCTTCAATTACAAAGCTCTCTTGTCTCAAATTTCTTCACCTCAGCGGTAACAGTTTCAATGGTGAAATCCCATCTTCTTTTGGCAGTTTGAAACAGTTGTCGTTTTTATCATTGAGCTCCAATCAACTCACAGGAACGCTTCCTCCAAACATTAGCTCACTCTCCAACTTGGAGTCTTTTTACGCATATGATAACAATTTCGTTGGAACCATTCCTTCTTCTCTCTTCGCCATTCCTTCTTTAATAAATATTTTTTTGTCAGATAACCAACTCAACGGCACTCTTGAGTTTGGGAATATATCTTCACCATCTAAGCTAGAATGGTTACTCCTTGACGGTAACAACTTCAGAGGGCCAATCCCTGGATCCATTTCCAAATTAGTCAATCTTGAGTATCTTGACCTTTCCCATTGGAACACCCAAGGCCCAATTGACCTCACTATCTTCTCGCATCTCAAGTCGCTTTCCAGACTTGAACTCTCCCATCTGAACACTACAACAACGATTGACTTGAATGCAATCTCATCATTTTCCCAGTCACTCGGAGCATTGGACCTCTCAGGGAACCATGTTTTAGCCACAAACAAAAGTTCAGTTTCAGATTCTCCTTCTCAGGTGATAAGTTATTTAAACCTGTCAAGCTGTGGTATTACTGAATTTCCAGAACTTCTAAGAACCCAACAGCATATGGAGTCTCTAGACATTTCCAACAACAAAATCAAACATCAAGTTCCTGGCTGGTTATGGACTCTACCAAATCTGCGTTACGTGAATCTTTCCAACAACACATTCATCGGTTTCGAAAGCTCAACGAAACATGGACTATCCTCAACCTTGGAGTACTTGTTTGGCTCTAAAAACAACTTCACAGGAGAGATTCCACCTCTTATGTGCGAGTTGTGCTCTCTGAGGGTTCTCGATTTATCAAACAACAATTTCAATGGTTCAATCCTTCTTTGCATGAGAAAGCAATCTCTCAGTTCTGAACCTACGTCAGAACCATCTTAGTGGAGGTCTTCCCAAGAATGTATTTAAAGGTCTAAGAACGCTTGACCTTGGTCACAACCAACTGGTAGGAAAGCTTCCCAGATCTTTGATTCGTTTCTCCAATCTTGAAGTTCTGAATGTGGAAAGCAACAGAATCAACGACACGTTTCCGTTCTGGTTGAGTTCTCTACAAAACCTGAAAGTTCTTGTCTTGCGCTCCAATGCATTCCATGGGTCGATACATCAAGGAATATTCTTTAAGATGAAGATCATCGACATATCACACAATCAATTCAATGGAACTCTGCCATCTGATTATTTTGAGATCTGGAGTTCAATGTCATCACTTGGGATACATGAAGATCAGCCGAAAGAACGTTATATGGGAGATCAATTCGGCTATTACAAAGATTCAATGGTTTTGATGAATAAAGGAATAGAGATAGAGCTAGAACGTATCCTAAAAGTCTTCACAGCACTCGACTTCTCTGGAAACAAACTTGAAGGCGAGATTCCAAAGTCCATCGGTTTACTGAAAGAGCTTCACGTGCTCAACTTGTCAAACAATGCTTTCAATGGCCGCATACCATCGTCCATGGGGAACCTTACAGCTCTCTAGTCACTAGACGTTTCCCAAAACAAGCTTTCAGGAGAAATTCCACAAGAGCTAGGGAATCTCTCGTTCATTGAGTACATCAACTTCTCCCATAACCAGCTTGTAGGTCTATTACCAGGAGGCACTCAGTTTCGAAGGCTGAACTGCTCTTCTTTTGACGACAACTTGGGACTTTTCGGCCCTGCTCTTGAAGGTGAATGCGGAGATATCCACAAGCCTTCATCGCAACAGTCTGAAACGCCAGAACCAAAAGAAGAAGAAGATGAAGAGGTGTTTAGTTGGATTGCAGCTGCAATAGGATTTGTACCTGGTATTGCGTTTGGGTTGAAGATTGGATACATATTGGTTTCATACAAACCAGAGTGGTTCACGAGTCCTTTTGGTCGAAACAAACGCAGAAGAAGAAGAAGCACCACAGCTAACTAGAGAGGTAATGTTTCTGAATTTGAAAAAAATATATTATAATAGAATTTTCTGGATGAATGAATAAGTGAAACTAACGTATATTTTGTTTGTGTAGCCTTCGTAAACCCAACTTGAAGAATCTTTGAGAAAGAGAATGAAGCTTGGGGGAGAAGGCAACCCATTTATCAGTGTCTTGATTTCAGTTATGCTAAAGATACTGGTTTGGTCTTTTACACATAACTCTGTATTTCTTTGCTGCATCATTATCTTCATCAAAACTCTTTTTTTTTTTCAGGTTACTTGTGATCTTCTGCATCATTAACTTGTTAAACTACATGGATCGTGGTGCCATAGCGAGCTATGGTGTCAATGGAAGTACCAGGACTTGTGATGATAAGGGCAAATGCAATCCTGCAACGGGAATTCAGTAAGAGTTTGGTTGTTTAAGTCCCAAAGCTTTTATATTTACTGCTATGTTTTACTCAAATATGTTGCTTCTTCTAGGGGACATTTCAATCTAAGTAATTTCGAAGATGGTGTGTTGTCATCTTCATTTATGGTTAGACTTCTTATTGCATCACCAATCTTTGCTTCATTAGCAAAAAGGTTAGGAAACATTTTTCAGTTTTTTCTTCTAATGCTTAAACAAAATACAGCTTATTGAAGTGGTTTATTGTTTTTTAGTGCAGTTTCAATCCATTTAGACTTATTGGAGTAGGCTTAACTGTTTGGACTGTTGCAGTTCTTGGTTGTGGCAGTTCCTTTGCCTTTTGGTTTATCGTCTTATGTCGCATGTAAGTTAGTTTTGTTCTACAATATACGATTTGACTTTGCATGCTCCAAATTTTGATTTGTTTATTATTATTACTCGGTAGGTTCGTTGGTGTAGGTGAAGCTTCTTTCATCAGTCTTGCAGCTCCGTTTATAGATGATAATGCCCCTCACAAACAGGTTTCTCTTTTAAACCTTTTTAGCACATCTTATGGATTCAAAATGCAACATTTGTCCATTTCTGATTAACCCTTTTGCTTTTTAACTTCAGAAAGCTGTGTGGCTTGGTGTGTTTTACATGTGTATACCAAGTGGTGTTGCTTTGGGCTATGTCTATGGCAGATACGTACGTATATTGTTGGGAATATGATATTGGTTTATAGAAAGTTGTCTTAAAGGTTCAAAATTTGTGATTTTCAGGTTGGAAAACATTTTAGTTGGCGCTATGCGTTTTGGGGAGAAGCTGTATTAATGGCTCCATTTGCTGTTCTTGGTTTCTTGATGAAACCTCTACAGTTAAAAGGTTAAGAACATATTCTGTCTTGTGTTATTAAAAGCATAAACTGTTAAAGATATTGTAATCTGAGAAAATGAAAATGAAACAGGGTTTCCTGCTACTGATGCTACTGATTCTATAAAGATGGCTTCATCAGTTGGTAGATTTTTTTAACCTTTCTTGTATGTTAATGATAATGTGCTTTGATTATACACTTGTGCAGTGAGAGTTTTGTCTATTTTGCAGATGCAGAGACATCTAAAAACAAGAATCATCTTCAAGCTGGTGGTAATGAGATTGAGGTCTCCATTGAAACTTCAACTTGTGGCAGGTCAAATTACAAGAACGCAGTTTCGAAATCGTTTACTCAATTTGCTAAAGATATGAAAGTTCTGTGTAAAGAAAAGGTCTTTGTTATTAATGTCTTAGGTAATAGTTTTTGTCCTTTTTACTTTTCACTATTCTTATTACTTATCTTCTTCATTGATTGATGATATAACTTGGTGTTAACAGGTTATGTATCATACAACTTTGTTATTGGAGCATACTCATATTGGGGACCAAAGGCTGGTTATAACATTTACAAAATGGTGAAACAGTTTGTTTGTTTCTATCAATCTTTCTTCTTGAGTGTTCCTGAAAGATTCAAACTTTTGTTCTATCTTGTCAGAAAAACGCCGATATGATCTTTGGGGCAGTAACTATCATTTGTGGGATCATTGGGACATTATCAGGAGGGTTTATACTCGATCGAGTCACTGCAACAATTCCAAATGCTTTTAAGGTGAAGAAGAAAAGCTTTTTTTTTTCTCTCTTCTTGTTTTCGGATTTTGAATAAAAACCTTTTGATGGATACGTGTTAACGTATGTATGCAGCTTTTATCCGGAGCAACGTTTCTTGGAGCGATCTTTTGCTTCACTGCATTTACCTTAAAGAGTTTAAACGGTTTCATTGCTCTCTTTGCCTTAGGAGAGCTTCTTGTGTTTGCTACACAGGTAAAACAAACTTTGAGCCTTAGCGTTGTTGTAATATTGTTATATATCTCAATCTTCTTCTTCTTCTTTTTCAGGCTCCTGTGAACTATGTGTGTTTACATTGTGTGGAACCAAGTTTGAGACCATTATCAATGGCTATCTCTACCATTGCGATTCACATATTTGGCGATGTTCCTTCTTCTCCTCTTGTCGGTATCGTTCAGGTAGAAAAAGATCTCGTCTTGTCATCGCCAATATGAGTATATGCAAACAGAAACCAAAATGCTCCATTGTTGTTGTAAGTGCAGGATCATATCAACAGTTGGAGAAAAACAGCATTGATTCTTACATCGGTTCTGTTTTTAGCTGCTGTGTAAAAGGTTGTAAGATACTTTGAATGTTGTATGTATTAATCTCTCACGATATTTATACACATGATTGAATCCTATCTCGAGTCTTATTTGGACTTATCTTATTCCTTATACATCCTTATCGTATATTGACAAGACTTATCACAATATATTCTCTAATACTCCCCCTCAAGTTGGAGTGTGGAGATTAAGAACACCCAACTTGGGCAACAAATGATCAAACTGTGGCTTGCCGAGGGCTTTAGTAAGTATATCGGCTAGCTGATTATGTGTCCGAACATGAACCGTTGATATGCGTCCTGCCTTCACTTCATCACGAACACTATGACAATCCCGTTCGATATGCTTTGTTCTCTCATGAAAAACAGGGTTGGCAGCAATATGGATAGCTGCTTGACTATCGCAGAATAGACGGACTGGTTGGGGATGATGAACTCCGAGATCGCCGAGGAGTTGTGTTATCCATTTGATTTCCCTTGTAGCAGCAGCCATTGCTCTGTATTCTGCTTCAGCGGAAGAGTGAGAGACAGTATCCTGCTTCTTTGTTTTCCAGGAAACGGGAGAGCCGCCAAGTAAAACAACATATGAACTTAGGGAGCGGCGTGTCAAAGGACATGACGCCCAATCCGCGTCACAATATACCTGCAGGCGTAGATCACGATCAGCTGATAATAAAATTCCTTGTCCTGCAGAGCCTTTCAAATATCGAACCACTCGCAAAGCCGCCTCCCAGTGAGCAACTCGCGGGGCCTTCATAAATTGTGATAACAGATGAACTGTGTAGCTTAGCTCCGGACGTGTATTAACCAAGTAAACCAGACGTCCCACAAGACGACGGTATGTACTAGGTTCTGGTAAAACAGGGCCATCATCCGAAGCTAGTTTATGGTTTTGTTCAATCGGAGTCATTGCAGGTTTACATCTGAGAAGACCTGTTTCAGCCACAATATCTAAGACATATTTTCGTTGAGTAAGAAAAATCCCTTCCTTAAAGCGTGCCACTTCAATACCCAAGAAATACTTTAACTTGCCAAGATTCTTCATTTTAAAACATTCCGAAAGATATATCTTGAACTTTTCCAGAACAGCGCCATCGTTGCCACAAATCACTAAATCATCCACATAAACTAAAACACGCAACTCAATCTCTCCTGACGTGTAAATGAACAACGAGTAGTCGGAATATGATTCTATAAAACCGAATTTTAGAAGGGCAGCCGTTAACTTCTGGAACCAACATCGTGGTGCTTGACGGAGACCGTATAAAGACTTTCGGAGATGACAAACTTTTGTGGGGTCGGAATGCGTAAAACCGGGTGGCAATTTCATATAAACTTCTTCCTCAAGGTCTCCGTGTAAGAATGCATTGTGAACGTCCATTTGGTGCACTTCCCACCCTTTAGATGCGACTAACTTAAGAAGACTTCTAACTGTGGCCATCTTAGCGACAGGAGCGAAGGTTTCATCGATATCCTCCCCTTCGATTTGTTTATTTCCCAACACTACCAGTCTTGCCTTGTGTCGTTCTAAAGTACCATCATCATTAAACTTCAAACGGAAAACCCATTTGCAACCGAGAGCCACTTTGCCTTGCGGGAGAGATGCAATGTCCCACGTGTGCTGATCCTCTAGAGCGACGACCTCATTCTTCACCGCACCTCGCCATTCGTGAAATTTGACTGCTTCGGCGTAAGAGTGTGGTTCTGTTTGAGCTGTAACCGCCGCCAAGAAAGCTCTATGCGACTGAGAGAAAAGCATATCAGAGATGTAATTCACTAAAGGATACGAAGTGGTACCTTGGACTGTTTCAGAGGGCGCTGATATTGAGGAGTGTTGAGCGAGATGGGGTTTAGTAGAGCAGATCGCATTGTAGATGACGTAATCTTTAAATTTAAGTGGCATATTTTTGTCTCGCAGACCTTTGCCTAATCCATCGATGGGAAGATGGGAACAGTGACGGCAATATCCGATGGATTTTGAGGCTTTAATCCAGACGGAGTAGGTGACTTTGGTGGTGTATCCGTCGGTTCTGAAGTTTCTTGGATTGCAAGTGATGATTCATCGTGAATTGCAGGCGATGATTCATCTTGAATTGCAGGCGATGATTCATCTTGAATTGCACGCGATGATTCATCTTGAATTGCAGGCGATGATTCATCTATAACAGCATGCGGAGTTAGTTGTGCAGGAGCCGATGGAGGTGAAACAATCATGCTCCCCCTTTCTTCTATATTTGGTGTAGTCTCTATGAGCCAGTCACCGTCTTCATAATAATCAGAGTACGCAGAAAATTTTTTGGACTGAGTACGTGCAGACGTTAATGAAGATGCAAATGGAAATTCTTCTTCGTGAAAAACCACATCGCGAGAGACAAAGAACTCTTCTTTGTCCAAATCGAATAGTTTCCAACCTTTCTTGCCAAAGGGGTAACCAACGAAAACGCATCTTCTGCTTCTAGACTCGAATTTATCCTTTGAGCGAGATTGTGAATGAGCATGACACAGGCTCCCAAACACCCGCAGCTCAGCATATATTGGTTTCTTTTCAAAGAGAATTTCATATGGAGAGCGCCATTGAAGAAGTGCAGTTGGAGGTCTGTTAATTAGGTGTGCTGCAGTGAGAACTGCTTCACCCCAAAACTTGATGGGTAAGCTTGCTTGAAATAACAGAGCTCTAGCAACATTCAGTAGGTGTCTGTGTTTTCTTTCAACCCTGCCGTTTTGCTGCGGCGTTGCACCGCAAGAAGTTTGGTGAACCATACCATGTTCACGAAAATAATTTGACAAACACATAAACTCAGTGCCATTATCACTCCTGACCGTTTTTACTGACTTTCCAAATTGCTTTTCGGCCATAGAGAAAAAATTTCGGAGTACACTACTAACTTCTGATTTTGCAAGCAAGAGATATGTCCATACTGCTCTGGAGAAATCATCAATTATGGTAAGAAAATAGACAGCTCTACATGAAGCTGGGATGCGATACGGACCCCAAACATCGCAATGAATCATAGAAAAACACTCATTTGATTTATTCAAACTCTCATAAAACACTTCTCTTGTTTGCTTAGCCCTAAAACATGTGTCGCAAGGACTAGGGGCAGCAGTCTTATTTGAAATCTTAGTAAAATCCGGTAAATGCGAAAACACAGAAAATGATGGATGTCCTAGCCTTTGGTGCCACAAACTTTGGTCAACTGAAACAGAGGTTTGATGAATCCTTGTAGCCATGACGTCCCTAAAATAATAAACCCCATCACGCTCTTCACCGGCTCCAATCAGAGTCCTCGTGAAACGGTCCTGTAAAACACATAATGTATCCGTTAGTAAAGCATAACAGTTTGTTTGTCTCAGTAACTTGGAGACAGATATTAGTGAGCAGTTGAGGTTTGGGACAGATAAGACATCATTAAGAGTAATCCGATCAGATAACCGGAGAACTCCTAAATGTGTCGTAAAAGTTTTATTCCCATCAGCGAAACCAACTGGACAGGGTGGAATGTTGATTGTGTGGAGCAGAAGTGACATGTCTCCTGTCATATGATGAGAAGCCCTTGTATCCAGAATAAGATCACCGTGTTTGCTCTTACCAGAAAGCCGATCGGAAGCTGTAGTTGTCTTTTCTTGAATTAGTTGAGACAAGGCTTTCCATTGCTCCTGTGTAAATTCAGGAAACGTTGACGCATTGGATGTTGTTGCGTGGGCGTTGTGAACTCGATTTCCAGAATTCTTGTTGTAGCGGTTTGCATCTATAGACTCTGTAGTTGTGGAGCCTCCGCTTGCACCATGGCCACGACCTCCTGAATTGCCACGTCCACCTCGGGATGAGCCTCTGCCACCTCCTCTGTTTGTAGTCCGATCTTCCCACCAATCCGGGAAACCGACTAGTTGCCAGCAATTTTCCTTCTCATGTCCGTTTCTAGGACAATGAGAACACTGAAGGTTCTTGGAACGTGTGGTGGTGGAAGCGGACGTCTCCGTTGATCTTGCAGCAAATCCGACTGCAGATTGTTGTTGCTCACGATCACGTGAGGAGTTGATCCTTTGTTCTTCGCGAATCACTTTCGCATAAATTTCTCCTAAATCATACGAATCTGATCCGATAATGCTTGTGCAAAGACTTCCAAACTGAGCATCATCCAATCCCATCACGAATTGATGTGTCTTCTCTTCTTCACGTTCGGCTTCAATCTTTGCCAAATTTCCACACGAGCAGTCATGAATTGGCTTATACATGTCGAGTTCTTCCCACATGGCAGATAAACGACCAAAGTATTGCAGGACGCTTTGTCTATCTTGGCGACAAGCTGCTATTTGCGCATTGAGATGGTGAACTCGAACTTTGTTTCCCACAGAGAAACGTTTCTTCAGATTTTCCCATAACTTATGAGAATCAGAGATAAAAGTTACGGTTGAACGTACTCTTGACTCTATCGAAGATCGAATCCAACCCACAATCATGGAGTTGACCGAGAGCCACAGCTCTAGATTCGGATCATCAAAAGCAGGTTTGGGGATTGTTCCATCAATAAACCCCATCTTTCGTTTGGCACGGAGGGCATTGAGCATCTCCGTTGACCATTCGTTGTAGTTCTCACCGTTTAACGTCACAGACGTTATCAAAGCACCAGGATTATCAGATGCATACAAGGAATAAGGCGTGATTGTTGGATCCTTATCCTTGGATGAAGCTGTAGCCTTTGATGCAGAGTCTTCAACAATCGACATCGTTCAACTAGAACTTTTGTAAGAAAGAAAAAAAACAAGTTTTAGGTCTCAGAAAACCTTTCTGATACCATGTAAAAGGTTGTAAGATACTTTGAATGTTGTATGTATTAATCTCTCAATCGTACACGATATTTATACACATGATTGAATCCTATCTCGAGTCTTATTTGGACTTATCTTATTCCTAATACATCCTTATCGTATATTGACAAGACTTATCACAATATATTCTCTAATATGCTGCAATATGGTTTATAGGTAAAATGCAAATCTCAATTCTTGAACCTAGATAAATATTTCTTGTTCCAAATCAAGAAGCTGTTTTTGTTGCGAATTTTGTTTTGGCAGGGATATTCATAAACAGTGTAGATCGGTTTAATGGAGAAGAAAGTGAAAGTGAGAAGCAGAGGAGGCAAGAACAATCGATTGTAACTCCATAAATAAATACTATATAGCAAAAGTAGAGAAATCTGTGTGTATTTGTACAGTTACAAAACACAATGAGCCAAATCTCACACAAAAGCTTCAAATTTGCATGGAAAAACTTGAATTACACGTTTCAGGCTGTATAATTCTTTTTTTTTGGTTGTATAGAATGTGATCATTGTGCTTCTTCTCAGTTCTTTATCTTTAACTTGGAACATTACCATTTTGGATACATCTTGCTAGGAAAACAAACTAATAAGTACTATATAGTCGCTTACTCTATTGAATCAATAAATAGTATATTTCCTTTTTTTTATATAGTGAAAAAAAAAAGAAAGTCTTCTTTATTCTGGCTTGCCTTCCTTCCTGATTTTGTCTACCAGACAGCTAAAACAATTACAGGTACTGTGACAAATGAGATAGAGACACAGTAATAGGTGCTTGTGTTGCAAGGAAGCGCTACTTCATCTCAGTTCCAAGAAGAGATAATACTTATTCTCTTTGGCTTCTTGTTGGTGTTGCAGAGCTTTCAAAATAATTTATTTGCATGCCTTCTGTCCATAGTGCGCATCATAGTTTTTAATCGATTAGATTAACTTATGTTTAGTATCAGGACGCAATTAAAACAAATCATATAAATCAAACTCGAACAAAGAAAAAATGTATCATGACAAAAGAAGCCAAACAAACAAACAAGTAGATTTATCAAACTATTCAGCAATATTGACTAGTCAGTTTTGTTTCATGGGGGAAAAGACAAAAGACGATGACTTGAAAAGTAAGCCAACTCTGCTCCCAACTCCAACAATTTCTTTTTCAACCTTATCTTCATCTTGAGAGCTCTCCTTACATCGACCACATGATTATCATTACCCATAACAAATCGTCTCTTCTTTACTCTTTTGTAATGTATTATCTAATTTCTTTTTCATTAATTTGGTTGGACCAAAATGTTTGGAACACAAATACATTCACTCTCTTTGCTCAACGTGAATAATACTTCATACAAAGACTTGATGGTGAGTCAATCTGAGTGAATCTGGAGCACTCTCTATATGCAATGTATATAAAGAGACGGGGCATGAAACCATGTTTTATCATCACCATTTCCATCTTTCGCTTCTTCATTATTGGTATTGAAGAAAGTTAAATTAGCTTAAAGAAGAAGAACGAAAGGCTGTTGGAACTCAATGAGGACCATTCATATTACTTTTTCTTTTCTCTTCTCGTTCATACTTTATTTTCAAAACGTGTCTGCGGTTCCTATTAGACATGTGTGTCGTCCTGAACAAAGGGATGCACTTCTCAAGTTCAAGAACGAGTTTGAGATTGGGAAGTCTTCTTTTTCTGAGTGTTATGTTAATGGTCACTTTGTTAGCCCTTATCCGAAGACGGAGTCATGGAAACATAACAGTGATTGTTGTTATTAGGATGGTATCACGTGCGATGCCAAGTCTGGGAAAGTGATCGAGCTAGATCTCAGCTGCAGCTGCCTCCATGGCAGGTTTCATTCGAATACCTTTCAAAACATTCCTTTTCTATCTTCTCTAGACCTTTCACATAATGATTTATATGGTCAGATCCCATCCTCCATTGGAAAACTTTCTCATCTCACCTCTCTCGACCTTACTAGTAATCATTTCTCTGGCCAGATTCTGTCTTCAATTGGAACTCTTTCCAATCTCACCTCTCTCACTCTTTCTGGTAATCAATTTTCTGGTCAGATTCCATCTTCAATTGAAAATCTTTCAAATCTCACCTCTCTCGCTCTTTCTGTTAATCGGTTTTCTGGTCTGATTCCATCCTCAATTGGAAACCTTTCACAACTCACCTCTCTCAATCTTTTGGGTAATCAGTTTTGGGGTCAGATTCCATCTTCAATTACAAAGCTCTCTCGTCTCGAATCTCTTCGCCTCAGCGGTAACAGTTTCAATGGTGAAATCCCATCTTTTTTTGGCAGTTTGAAACAGTTGACCGACTTAATATTAGATACCAATCATCTCAGTGGAAACTTTCCCATTGCACTACTAAATTTGACAAAGTTGTCGTCTTTATCACTCTACTCCAATCAACTCACAGGAACGCTTCCTCCAAACATTAGCTCACTCTCCAACTTGAAGGGTTTTTTGGCATATGATAACAATTTCGTTGGAACCCTTCCTTCTTCTCTCTTCGCCCTTCCTTCTTTGACATCTATTGATTTGTCAGATAACCAACTCAACGGCACTCTTGAGTTTGGGAATATATCTTCACCACCTAAGCTTCAAGTGTTATACCTTGGTGGTAACAACTTCAGAGGGCCAATCCCTGGATCCATTTCCAAATTAGTCAATCTTGAGCATCTTGACCTTTCCCATTGGAACACCCAAGGCCCAGTTGACTTCAGTATCTTCTCGCATCTCAAGTCACTTTCCAGTCTTTACCTCTCCCATCTGAACACCACAACAACGATTGACTTGCATGCAATCTCCTCAATTTCCCAGTCACTCCGGGGACTGGATCTCTCAGGGAACCATGTTTTAGCCAAGTCGCTTGAATCATTTTCATTGGATCTCTCCGGAAACCATGTTTTAGCCACAAACAACAGTTTAGTTTCAGTTTCTCCTTCACAGATGATAAGTCTTTTAAAATTGTCAGGCTGCGGTATTACCGAATTTCCAGAGCTACTAAGATTCCAGCAGGATATGGATACTCTAGACATTTCCAACAACAAAATCAAAGGTCAAGTTCCTGGCTGGTTATGGACGTTACCAAATCTGCGTTACGTGAATCTTTCCAACAACACTTTCATCAACTTCGAAAGATCAATGAACCATGGACTATCCTCTGCCCTGGAGTACTTGTCTGGCTCTAAAAATAACTTCACAGGAGAGATTCCATCTCTCATATGCGAGTTGCACTCTCTAAGCACTCTAGATTTATCAAGCAACAACTTCAATGGTTCAATACCTCTTTGCATGGGTAATCTCAAGAGCAATCTCTCAGTTCTGAACCTACGTCAGAATCGTCTTAGTGGAGGTCTTCCGAAGAATGTATTTAAAGGTTTAAGAACGCTTGACATTGGAAATAACCAATTGGTGGGAAAGCTTCCAAGATCTTTGATCCATTTCTCCGCTCTTGAAGTTCTGAATGTAGAAAGCAACCGAATCAACGACACGTTTCCGTTCTGGTTAAATTCTCTACAAAACCTGAAAGTTCTTGTCTTGCGCTCCAATGCATTCCATGGGTCGATACATCAAGCCTCGTTCTTTCAGTTGAAAATCATGGACATCTCACATAATCAGTTCAGCGGAATTTTACCAGCTGATTGTTTTGTGAGTTGGAGTGCAATGGCATCTCTTGGGATAAACGAAGATAAGTCGACTGGAAAGTACATGGGAGGAAGCTATTACCACGATTCAATGGTTTTGATGAATAAAGGTGTATTATTGGAGCTAGAACGTATCCTAAAAGTCTTCACAGCACTCGACTTCTCTGGAAACAAACTTGAAGGCGAGATTCCAAAGTCCATCGGTTTACTGAAAGAGCTTCACGTGCTCAACTTGTCAAACAATGCTTTCAATGGCCGCATACCATCGTCCATGGGGAACCTGACAGCTCTCGAGTCACTAGACGTTTCCCAAAACAAGCTTTCAGGAGAAATTCCACAAGAGCTAGGGAATCTCTCGTTCCTTTCGTACATGAACTTCTCCCATAACCAGCTTGTAGGTCTATTACCAGGAGGCACTCAGTTTCGAAGGCTGAACTGCTCTTCTTTTGACGACAACTTGGGACTTTTCGGCCCTGCTCTTGAAGATGATTGCGGAGATATCCACAAGCCTTCATCGCAACAATCTGAAACGCCAGAACCAAAAGAAGAAGAAGATGAAGGGGTGTTTAGTTGGATTGCAGCTGCAATAGGATTTGTACCTGGTATTGCGTTTGGGTTGACGATTGGATACATATTGGTTTCATACAAACCAGAGTGGTTCACGAGTCCTTTTGGTCGAAACAAACGCAGAAGAAGAAGAAGCACCACAGCTAATTAGAGAGGTAATGTTCTGAATTTGCAAAAAATATATAATAATAGAATTTTCTGGATGAATGAATAAGTGAAACTAACGTATATTTTGTTCGTGAAGCCTTCGTAAACCCAACTTGAAGAATCTTTTGCAACCAAACCAAATGGACCGGAGAGAAAGAAGCTTGGGGGAGAAGGCAACCCATTTATCAGTGTCTTAAATGAATTCAGTTATTGTTTCCAGTTACTCTGTTTTTTGTTGTGTTCTTTTCTCTGTATTTGTCTTTTACTTTGTCATTAGCCAATATTTCTCTTTTATAGCACAAATGTATTTCTGTTTATTTGATGGACATGATTACACATAGTTAAGGTCCAATCATTATTCATAAGAGATATATTTACCATAACAATTCATAAGAACTAAACAGAAACCAAAATTCTCCAGTTTCTACTCTTCGTGCATCGCTTCGTGCAGCCGCATCCCTTTCTTCGCCTGTCTTCTGCTACCACCAGACCCCGGATTACTCGTGGTCCCTGCTCTTTCGTCTTCACAACGTTTGGCTCTTCAAAAGGACCAATCCGGCAAACAAATGCTCAGAGGCTGAACATTCCTCTTTCTTCGGCATCAAGTGAATGAATGTTCTTGTTAACGTTTAGTTCTCTTTCCTTTAGGGTTTTGCGTTTCCTCTATATAAAGGAACAACTTGTATATTCACAAAGCAAGTAATGAAAATGGTGTTTCTTTGACCAAAGCTTTCATCTTCAAAGTTATTGTTCTCTGTTTTTGTTTCTGCTCTCAATATCATCATTACAAGGCTGCTTATCAATGGATTTCAACTGATCATCATCTCGCTTTTCCAAGTTTTCTTCCTCGTTAGCTCAGAAACATTACTTTTGCTCAATGAACTAACTTTCGATGACTCTGTGTTCACCATGTTTTCCACTACTCATCAAAAAGACGCACACCAATGTTTTTCCATGAAGCAAAAATTCACCAGATTTGTCCTGCAACAATGAACAATTTGGCAAA